TATATATATATATATACACACATGCAAGTATATGTTTAAGAAGTATTTGCATGTGTCTGTATATATATTAGGGGTGTAACGTACACAAACATGATGGTTCGGTACGTACCTCGGTTTTGACGTCACGGTTCGGTATGTTTTCGGTAAAAATGTATGTTTTCATAAAATATTTATTTACGCATAAATAATTAAGACATCACTAACAGGTAAAGTAAATATAATGAAGTATAGTCTGATATTTTGCAAAATGCTCTTCAATAGACTTAATTTCTCTTGCAAATACGAGCTGTAGACACTGATGACTTGCCTGAGAACATAAATGAAATGCTATGTGACATTTTGTTTACAAGCTGTTTTAATGACATCTTTCCACGGTTGAAACACTAATTGAGCGATTACTTGAGGGGTGAGATGTTCATTCATGTATATTTTGCATTAAAACTAGTAATAAAGAGGAAGGGATGATCACGCTCACTCGCGCAACGTGCTGCCGTTAGAACTAAGGCGTTTATACGTCTTTTTTTTTTTTTTTGCCCCCCAAAAATATATATATATAGCCTATTTTTGCCAAATTCTTGTTACTTCAGGGTCATTCAGACTGGCGTATTTTCTACAAGGGCACAGCTTCATTCAGATCTTTTAACAGACTATGATAAAGAGAGGCTCAGTCGCATGCTGAGGACCTTGATGTTACCTTGTGGCTTCTTGGCAGACACATCAAAGTTAATGAGGGGTGAAAGAACAGGCTGATGTGTCGTGGCTTTGCAGATGCAGTTGCAGTAGCAGAACTCCTGAGAGAAAGAGCTGTACACAGAGCGGGACACTGTCATTTAACACACACAGTCACAGCAGTGGCTTAAGGTTCATGACCTTTTCTAGCCCGGAGGTGTTTGGTCTAATATCCAGTCAAAAATATTTAGCTGTTTAACATAAGAATATAAGCCATTTTAAAAGTAGATGAGTGATGCTGATGATGTTAAAATGAGATGTAATGCTGTAGAAAAATTGTCTTTGATGTCATTGCCTAGTGGTTAGTGCACATGCTTTGATGTACATTTCCTTTCCACTCTATAATTTTCCTGTCAATAAGTGACAAAAGATCAAAAATAATTATAGAAAATGTACTTTAATTTAAATAATCATCCAATATAAAATACAAAAGTATTCATGTGCTCAGTAAAAAAAAAAATATATATATATATATATATATATATATAGTGTGTAAATAAAAAAAAAATCTCATAATATTTTTTCATACTGTACATTATAATGTTGCGATGTTCAAATTCATTAGTAGGATTTAAACTGTTTAGCATTTAATTTTTAATTTACTTATACTAAATAGTATGGAATGTCAATATAAGCAATAACCTGAAAATCATTATAGACATATACATACACACACACACAATATATATATATATATATATATATATTGTGTGTGTGTGTATGTATATGTCTATAATGATTTTCAGGTTATTGCTTATATTGACATTCCATACTATTTAGTATAAGTAAATTAAAAATTAAATGCTAAACAGTTTAAATCCTACTAATGAATTTGAACATCGCAACATTATAATGTACAGTATGAAAAAATATTATGAGATTTTTTTTTTATTTGCTAAAGATTTAACGGTTTTATTAAATTGGATTTAAATTGATGTTAAAGTGTTTTTAAAAATCCATTTTAAGTGAGCATCAGATAATAGTCAAGTCACTTTGGACAAAAGGGTCTGCTAAATGACTAAATGTAAAAGTCAGTCTAATATAAATGTAACAATTGGGAAATTGAATAAATGCTAGACTCCATAATAAACCACACATAGCTTAAACATGACTTTACATGTTGTGCATTTCATATTTGCAGAAAAACTGACCCCATCCTCTTCCTTCACAGTCCCGGACCTTCCTGAGAGAATATTACCATGAGCACAACATAGAGCTCTCCAAGCTGCTGTACAAAATGGGCCAGCCGCTGCCTAGCTGGCTTAGGGAGGAGTTGCTCCACAGCAGGTAACCTGAAGAGGGGGGTGGGGACACACTGGTCAAACTCGGACACCCCTCCTTCTGCTCTTGAGGGTACTCGCCCTCTCGTCCACCCCTGTAAGCCGCCGGCCACAGTGGTTGGTCAAGTCTCCTCCAGCGGCTTTGCGGACCTTCAGTTCGGAGAACTGAGCTTCTAGAGGACAAGACAGAGAGGAGGAGAAAGATGCCCTTAGGTGTGCTAGTGGCTCTGTTCCGTTTTGGAGAACAGTGATGTGCCCAGGACATAGCCCTGGGGTACACCCGCTACAATCCTTGGCTCGAACATAGGATCACAACGGGAGGCTTCCAAAAGACATTCTATTTGTCTGGTGTGTTGAAGTACCAGGAAGACATAATGTCAGAACAAATGGACTTGCAATATGGGAGAGGAGGGCACATATTTCTTTTGAGCTGTAGGACATACACAAGTCCGCAACAGATAAATAAGTGCCAGGGTGGTACCTTAAAGTCAGACTTTCTTTGTTTTCTTGGTTAAATATTCTTTTAACACTCATTTCATGTGTTGTGTTCCACAACACAAGGCTATTCGCCTTGTAGTTTCATACTTCTGTTTTAAACGGTTTTTAGTTCATAGGATATTAAGCCCATTCGTTACAGCTGCACCCTCCGGGCTTAAAATGTGACATTTAAAGGTGAAATTTCATTATGATGTATTTATGGCTATTAGTTGCGAATCCACAGGACAGCTTAATAATGCGTGATAAATTGTGGTACTAAAACACAGATAAGCTACATCCATAATCAATGTGACTGTAAATATGAAACTGTAAAAAAGCTGGGTATGTTTTTGGCCTGTTCTATGTGCAGTAACTGCCTTAATGCAACTTTATCAAGCCAATTACGGTTAAATTCACTAAAGTATACAAGCTGATGTGTTTTGACAGGCCTCAAGGGGCTGATCTTTTTAATCTTAATTCGAATGATAAATGTTGAGAACTGAACCCATGTGTTATTTTGGCAATGGCGTTATATCACAAATCTCACTGGAGCGTTAAGTAAGGGTATTGCAGTTTTAATAGTGATCCATAAAACCTGTCCGCCAATAATCCTTTTATCACCTTTTTTTATCTTGTTTTAATGAATGTTTTACCCTTTTTCAGTTTTTATGTGATTTGTTTAGCATATCACAACATCTAATCACTTTTCATTCAGGGTTGTCATCAGAATGTGTCCAGGAATGTATTGCCTCTGCCAAGAGACCATTTTAAAAGGCTATTTTATATGACTTGTGTTCTGTAGGAACTGTTGACTGCTACTGAACCGTATGAATTACACCCATGAATGTAAGCAAGGATGCTGTATAATAGACACGATGGCAGGGCGATCCACGGAAAGTTCCACAAAGCCCCTTAACCCAGTCGCTGGGGCTGAATTAAACCACTGCGCTAATGGATTTAATTTCTCTTGCTGCTGAAATGAGAAGTCATGAAACGAACCCAAATCTCATTTTATGTATAACATAAAATTAATTGGATTTAATTTCGTTCCCTTCTGATTTTCATTCATCTTTGAAAGGTTTTTGTGCACTTTCTTCCGTACTTCCATGCACAATTACATCAGACTCACTTCACGCAGCATACAGTGGGTACGGAAAGTATTCAGACCCCCTTAAATTTTTCACTCGTTGTTATATTGCAGCCATTTGCTAAAATCATTTAAGTTAATTTTTTTTCCTCATTAATGTACACACAGCACAAGGGGGTCTGAATACTTTCCGTACCCACTGTATATCAGTCTCCTCTAACAGCTGTGTGCCTGTTCAGTCATTTGGCGTTTCGATTCAAGTGCATCCTTTGGTCAAGCATTTTCATTACACTTGTGAGTTCTGGGAAAAAAAAGGCACCAAAAAGTACAAATTGAACTGTTTGATGATTAATCACCCCTGATATTCCCTGCTTTAGGATGGACACTTGGGAAGGCGTTTGGCAATATTACAGATGGAGAACTGACAGTATCTCAGAGCGTTTATTTTCTATAATACAGATTTTATTTGTAAAAATCGTACAACCCTTAATTCTTCATTGACCTCAACGTGTGATGCTTGAGAAGCACAATGTTTGTGTTGTTGACCAAGGAATGGAAAAGCATACAATGCATATCTTGTGTGCAAGGATATCACTTCACACACAGATATTTGCACCAGTCCACAGGAAGACTTTTGGGTCCACAGAGCATTTTGTATTACCAGTAACTTTTACAGATAGTTTTACTTAGTTTTGTTTAAAATGTAAGTAGTTTACAATTGTGTGAGGTACAGAACCATGCACCTTACATGCTGCTCTCGGATTCGTCATAATCACACGCGTAACCTTTTTATTGATATTATCATTTCGTATTCCTGCTCCCAAGCCGAAAACTGGCATCTAATAATGCAATATCGTGTTTCGCACCAAGCACAAAATGATGTTTAAATAAAATGTGTCGCAGTGTACAGAGCCCATTTATTTTGAGTGAATGGAACAGAGATTATAAAATATGAATGAACTAGTTATGATTTTTTTTTAGACATCAACCACACTCACACAGACATGCAGAGAGTTCCCATGACTTTCACACTGCCAATATTGTGCTTTCTGTATCATAATGTAGGGTATGAATAGATAGAATAAAATAACTGTAAGGAAATAATCATCTGGACTGTACAATCAAACCTACCGTTGTTAATATTTTTTATTGTTGGTAGCCAATATTTTTGTGATTAATTTGCAAATAAAGAAACCACTGTCTTTTTAGTTCTTTGTCTTTATTAAGTACACGTATTATTTCAGTGAGTAAATAATACATACACATACATATGACATTTAATATATGAAAAAATATGTATGTTTGACTTTAATTTATGGTTTAGACATTGCAGTGCAAAAAACATCTTTATATAATAATACTAGTTATAAATATTGTGATTATCACCACTTTTCATAAGCTGCTCAAGTCACATTTAAGATGATAAATATTTAACCCTGTAATCAGAGGTGTAAAGAGTACCTAAAAACCATACTTGAGTAAAAGTACAGATACCTTACAGTGAAAA